TTAGAAGATAACTTTAACAGGTTTTAATGGATTTAGATAAAATTTGGTAGGCTCATTTATCATATTAATATCTCAAAACTGACCAAAGGATTTTAAAAAAGACCCAAAATAAAAAATTTTATCAACTTTTTTCCAAAAATTTTTTTTGAATCAAAAAAATTTTTAAATTGAAAAATTTAAGGTTATATATAATAAAATCGTATTCCTTACGTCAAGACAAATTGATCGGTATATATAAAGTATAGTTTTAATTTAAATTTAAAGAATTTAATGAAAGTTAAAAAATCAAAAATTCACATTTTTGCTATAAAATTTTGTGATTATTTAAATTTAAGTTTATAGATCAAATAATTGTATTCCTTACATGAAAACGAATCCATTGGTATATATAAAATTTACATTTGTGGTAAATTTAATAAATTAATGAAAGTTAAAAATAGAAAATACACATTTAAGATAAAAAATTGTTTATATATTTAAATTCAAGTTTAAATATAAAATAACTGTATTTTGTGCAAGAAATTGAAATAAATAGTTTACCTAAGAAAAGTTAAATTTTTTTGGGGACTTTTTTTGGATTTTGGATTTTTGGGTTGGATGACTTTTTGGTGGTAATAGGTGTCTTCCTCTACTCGGATTTGGCTGTCAATTTTTTTCTACACTTTTAGGAGTATTTTGTGCAAGAATATGCATTAAAATCGTCTGCCTAAGAAAAATTGAATTTTTTTGGGGACTTTTTTTGGATTTTGGATTTTTGGGTTGGATGACTTTTTGGTGGTAATAGGTGTCTTCCTCTACTCGGATTTGGCTGTCAATTTTTTTCTACACTTTTAGGAGTATTTTGTGCAAGAATATGCATTAAAATCGTCTGCCTAAGAAAAATTGAATTTTTTTGGGGACTTTTTTTGGATTTTGGATTTTTGGGTTGGATGACTTTTTGGTGGTAATAGGTGTCTTCCTCTACTCGGATTTGGCTGTCAATTTTTTTCTACACTTTTAGGAGTATTTTGTGCAAGAATATGCATTAAAATCGTCTGCCTAAGAAAAATTGAATTTTTTTGGGGACTTTTTTTGGATTTTGGATTTTTGGGTTGGATGACTTTTTGGTGGTAATAGGTGTCTTCCTCTACTCGGATTTGGCTGTCAATTTTTTTCTACACTTTTAGGAGTATTTTGTGCAAGAATATGCATTAAAATCGTCTGCCTAAGAAAAATTGAATTTTTTTGGGGACTTTTTTTGGATTTTGGATTTTTGGGTTGGATGACTTTTTGGTGGTAATAGGTGTCTTCCTCTACTCGGATTTGGCTGTCAATTTTTTTCTACACTTTTAGGAGTATTTTGTGCAAGAATATGCATTAAAATCGTCTGCCTAAGAAAAATTGAATTTTTTTGGGGACTTTTTTTGGATTTTGGATTTTTGGGTTGGATGACTTTTTGGTGGTAATAGGTGTCTTCCTCTACTCGGATTTGGCTGTCAATTTTTTTCTACACTTTTAGGAGTATTTTGTGCAAGAATATGCATTAAAATCGTCTGCCTAAGAAAAATTGAATTTTTTTGGGGACTTTTTTTGGATTTTGGATTTTTGGGTTGGATGACTTTTTGGTGGTAATAGGTGTCTTCCTCTACTCGGATTTGGCTGTCAATTTTTTTCTACACTTTTAGGAGTATTTTGTGCAAGAATATGCATTAAAATCGTCTGCCTAAGAAAAATTGAATTTTTTTGGGGACTTTTTTTGGATTTTGGATTTTTGGGTTGGATGACTTTTTGGTGGTAATAGGTGTCTTCCTCTACTCGGATTTGGCTGTCAATTTTTTTCTACACTTTTAGGAGTATTTTGTGCAAGAATATGCATTAAAATCGTCTGCCTAAGAAAAATTGAATTTTTTTGGGGACTTTTTTTGGATTTTGGATTTTTGGGTTGGATGACTTTTTGGTGGTAATAGGTGTCTTCCTCTACTCGGATTTGGCTGTCAATTTTTTTCTACACTTTTAGGAGTATTTTGTGCAAGAATATGCATTAAAATCGTCTGCCTAAGAAAAATTGAATTTTTTTGGGGACTTTTTTTGGATTTTGGATTTTTGGGTTGGATGACTTTTTGGTGGTAATAGGTGTCTTCCTCTACTCGGATTTGGCTGTCAATTTTTTTCTACACTTTTAGGAGTATTTTGTGCAAGAATATGCATTAAAATCGTCTGCCTAAGAAAAATTGAATTTTTTTGGGGACTTTTTTTGGATTTTGGATTTTTGGGTTGGATGACTTTTTGGTGGTAATAGGTGTCTTCCTCTACTCGGATTTGGCTGTCAATTTTTTTCTACACTTTTAGGAGTATTTTGTGCAAGAATATGCATTAAAATCGTCTGCCTAAGAAAAATTGAATTTTTTTGGGGACTTTTTTTGGATTTTGGATTTTTGGGTTGGATGACTTTTTGGTGGTAATAGGTGTCTTCCTCTACTCGGATTTGGCTGTCAATTTTTTTCTACACTTTTAGGAGTATTTTGTGCAAGAATATGCATTAAAATCGTCTGCCTAAGAAAAATTGAATTTTTTTGGGGACTTTTTTTGGATTTTGGATTTTTGGGTTGGATGACTTTTTGGTGGTAATAGGTGTCTTCCTCTACTCGGATTTGGCTGTCAATTTTTTTCTACACTTTTAGGAGTATTTTGTGCAAGAATATGCATTAAAATCGTCTGCCTAAGAAAAATTGAATTTTTTTGGGGACTTTTTTTGGATTTTGGATTTTTGGGTTGGATGACTTTTTGGTGGTAATAGGTGTCTTCCTCTACTCGGATTTGGCTGTCAATTTTTTTCTACACTTTTAGGAGTATTTTGTGCAAGAATATGCATTAAAATCGTCTGCCTAAGAAAAATTGAATTTTTTTGGGGACTTTTTTTGGATTTTGGATTTTTGGGTTGGATGACTTTTTGGTGGTAATAGGTGTCTTCCTCTACTCGGATTTGGCTGTCAATTTTTTTCTACACTTTTAGGAGTATTTTGTGCAAGAATATGCATTAAAATCGTCTGCCTAAGAAAAATTGAATTTTTTTGGGGACTTTTTTTGGATTTTGGATTTTTGGGTTGGATGACTTTTTGGTGGTAATAGGTGTCTTCCTCTACTCGGATTTGGCTGTCAATTTTTTTCTACACTTTTAGGAGTATTTTGTGCAAGAATATGCATTAAAATCGTCTGCCTAAGAAAAATTGAATTTTTTTGGGGACTTTTTTTGGATTTTGGATTTTTGGGTTGGATGACTTTTTGGTGGTAATAGGTGTCTTCCTCTACTCGGATTTGGCTGTCAATTTTTTTCTACACTTTTAGGAGTATTTTGTGCAAGAATATGCATTAAAATCGTCTGCCTAAGAAAAATTGAATTTTTTTGGGGACTTTTTTTGGATTTTGGATTTTTGGGTTGGATGACTTTTTGGTGGTAATAGGTGTCTTCCTCTACTCGGATTTGGCTGTCAATTTTTTTCTACACTTTTAGGAGTATTTTGTGCAAGAATATGCATTAAAATCGTCTGCCTAAGAAAAATTGAATTTTTTTGGGGACTTTTTTTGGATTTTGGATTTTTGGGTTGGATGACTTTTTGGTGGTAATAGGTGTCTTCCTCTACTCGGATTTGGCTGTCAATTTTTTTCTACACTTTTAGGAGTATTTTGTGCAAGAATATGCATTAAAATCGTCTGCCTAAGAAAAATTGAATTTTTTTGGGGACTTTTTTTGGATTTTGGATTTTTGGGTTGGATGACTTTTTGGTGGTAATAGGTGTCTTCCTCTACTCGGATTTGGCTGTCAATTTTTTTCTACACTTTTAGGAGTATTT